GGCGGGAATTCCCAAAATCCGAGAGCTCGTGGTAGTTTAAAGTGTCACTCTGGCAAGACTGTCCAAAAGTCGTGGACGTTTACTATCAGAGGGGTCATGACGCTCCGCGTCGTCGAACGCTGCGCGCTTCTCGGAAGTAGCCCGGGAAGCCGAAGGGCCATGAGCTGAGCACAAGCTATGGTCCTAGGCTTCTGTGGTCATAGACTCACCCGTGAGAGAAACTACAAAGCTCGCGGGGGCGTGATGGATTATTTCATATGTCGTAGGGCGACAATACGTAGGAAGTCGGCGTTGCGCCTTGAATTTGGCAAACTCGAAATAAATATAGCTTTCTACGCACACGTCCACTTCCTTGTTGCTCCGCTGTAAGTAAGCCAGCGAGTAAATTTTCCGGTGCCGCTGCACCTATCGCTCAAAGAGCTCTTCATCATTTGCAGCGGTTTCACCAGGGGTGAGCACTACAGAAATCGTCTGCATAGCGGGTACAGAAGCACCTTCGTTTTGAGAGCGTAGTCGAGCGCGGTACCTATCCATTGGGATTTGTTGAGATGCTAAGAAGCGAGCTCGGAGGGCTTTTCGTTGGTCAAGCTCAATTTGTGTAGTGGCCGGGGGTCCGACTACACAGACGTCTAACGATCTAGTGATCGTATCTTTCGCTTCAGTAGCCGGATCAGCGGAGCAAAAGCCGTATTCCACACGCTGGTCTAGGACCGAATGGTGATACGAGCACATGAGAGCTGCCCTGTGGGCAGCCTCCAACTGCTACTTCTGCGCCTCGTCGAGGCGATTGTAAATAATGCCACTTCCCCCGGGAGTCGAGAGGTCGGGAAACGATCACGGTGTCCGCAAGGTTCGAGCGGGCTCACGTGCGCCGTTTGCGCACCACGCCCTCCTCTTCATCCAGCCCTGAGAAAGGAGCATCCGACTCGTAGTCGCCTTCCTCCAAATCCTCGACGAGGAGATCCGTAGCTTGTGTCGGGCGCGGTGTGTGGCGCCCAGGTGCCGAGGGCTTGGGATGCGCTGCGGACGTACTGTCCGGAGTTGCTCCGCGTGCAGGAGACGGAGAAGGGCTCTGTCCGCGGGCGCCCACGGAGCCGGCGAGGCTAGGTGTTTTCTGTGCCATAGACACCGGGTGCATTGAGCAGAGAATGCGCTTCGATGGTCCTAGGGACGTAATGGTGCTCAGAAAGTCGGGCTCGTACGAGGTGACAGCTCAATGTGGATAGTGGGTATTCAGAAATTGATGGGGGAGAGTGTAACAAAATTACACGTACCCTGGTATGAAAGTGTGGGTCACACAAGATGGTGTGGCCGTACGAAGGTGTGGATTATACAATCCGGTGTAATCACGCCATAGTGTGACTACACCGTAACAAAGAATAACTACGTGGCGGGACTGCCAATAGTTATGACAATTAATTAGGTTTTACAATTTATTCGGAAAATCCTAAGGGTTTTAATATAGGCGGCTCTGCCGCGAATAAAACTGATAAATACAATTTCAATTTTGAACGGACGAGAACACTGGCCTTGGGTCAAGGTGTTGGGTCTCTTGGAGGTAGCGGATTGCGATCCGTTTTGGTTATAGTATAAAACGAAGGTCGGTGACGTTAAGTAAGCTTCCTCAAAGCAACAAGCTACGGCAGCCCCGCTGCAGCTTCGGTGCTATCAATGCCCTCTCAAGGAGAGTTACCAGCGCAAAAAGTATATATTTGTGTTCTGGTCTCATCGATTCGAATTCGCTAGCGCGACGCGATTCTGAAGGCCAAATCTAGGGCCATTCGGTTGCAAGTTATCATAGTGGGGGTACTTTTGTTCGCCTTTGACCACAAAGAGCTCGACGGTCAGCAAAATCTACCTCGCATATGGGGGGCTCGTGCTACGTGAGGTAAAGACGTGTCTCTCCAGCGCTTTTCATAGCTGGTAAGCGCTTCTAAGTGATTGGCAATCCTTTTGGAGTCTTAAGTCGCTAATTGCATTACTTCTCATGACCACTGAGAGACAAGAGCGCTTATCTCATTTTGCTGTCTGGACAATCATGACCTTAATCGCATCCATGAGCTTCGAGTCCTGCACATGAAGAGATGGGTCGACATCAAACCGTTAGTAAACCCATCACCTGAATGTGCACAGTAAAGAAAAAATCTTGCTACTATCGATGGAGTAATGTGCGCATCCTCGCAAGTTAAAGACTGGGATCCTGATACGTCTTTTGTTGGAGTAGATGCAACCGACGGCTCGTCCCCATGTCGCAAAAGTATATGAAGCATGCGTGCAGGTTTGCTTTGCGTACGTACGAATTCTTTTTTATCTTAGCTAGACTCACTTTTTTCGCGTATTCGTTTTATATCCCCGATGTATTCGCCATTTGGCGACTTCACAAATCATAATCTATTCCATGTAGCATCTAGGTAAGATCACTGGCTTGAATTGTATCTGAAGCGGGCCATAACAGCACTATGGTGTACGTGAACCGTACACTTCTGGTAATTGTGAAGAAAACACATGTCATGTAGAATTTTGTAAAAATTGTGGAGCACAGTAATACCAAAACTTTGGTGTTACTGACGACGATGGATCTTCGGTCAGATGTAAATTCAGTCGTCCCTTGGATAAGAGATATATGGGGAGAAAATTTTATCTATGAGTCAGTCAGGGTTATTAGATGTCCAAGTTTATTTGAGTTAGAACTTGTGTACATACAAAATAGCTAGGTGGAACAAACGTTTATTACATATACTAGGTTATTTGTTATACGGATATTATCTGAGCTACTTCTCCATTTATTTCTAAAATCGAACATAATACACCATGAGCTGCTGGATGTTGACCCGGTGGCGTGGGTCGAATGGTCAATGCTTCTTGACCTTACGAGTTCGAGCCCCTCAGCGGACAAAAATCGTAATCGTACCAGACATGCAAGAAATGTCGGTTGCATGCTAAATATCACCGACAACAGCCAATAAGGACTTCGGAACGACAACTGACAACTAAGGACTTCGGGATGGCGACTCGTACAAGAAAAATCAAGAATTAAAATCAATCGAAAAAATACCCCAGCGGAATGAAGCAATGTAATATCTTAGTCAGGGCCGAGTAGGTATAGCCGTGTAATAAGATAATACATAGCAACTTTCAACTGAGCTGCTGGATGTTGTGGTCCGAAATTTATAGAAAAACAAATATTTTTTTTTAAAGACATTTTTAATTTTTTTTATTGTAATTAAAATATAATATTTATAAATTAGTCTTTGTAGTTTCGTAATTGGGTATAATAAAAGGAGAATATGAAGTGTCAACCCAAATAAAGTTTCTGTCTATTGCGCGCCCCCCCCCTTCAGAAGGCTACTTCTGATATTTTGTTTCGTGATGATATACAAATTTTCCAACTAAACGCGAACGCTGCATTTAGTGGACCATGTTGCGTTATGGTCCCGACACTATTTCCTTCAAGGGCTTTCATTCAAAATTTGCTGGTTAATGTGTTTAAAAATTCCGTGGAGGAGCAATTATTTCGTGACGCACATCTTGCCCTCATGCACCTTGTTGACTACTCACAGAATTAGTGCTGTGAGCCTGATGTCCTAGAGCATATTATGACCGAGGAAGATGAACTTATTGAGTCAAGTGACAACCTGTGAGCTCGTAATAAGAACAAATACCGCCAGGCGCGCTCTATTAAGAACGGCGTTCTATCAGGGAAAGCGATTTTGTCTGTGAAAGGTTGAAGAGCATAAAAAGATGTCGATTGGGAAGCTTGAGAGCCATTTGACCGAATGTATAAAAATATCACATGTGTTATGATTGGGCAAGTAAGACTTATTTCCGTTTTAAAATAAATTGTAATAAGCACAACAAGAGTAATGAATATTGCCACCCGTGAAGATGTGGTCACAGAGGTGGTTACAGAGGTGGCAGCAACCAACTCACCCGCCGGTACAGCGCCAGTTTATCGTATAGAATTGCAGCCGCGACCACATGTATCGTTCGACGAAAGCGTCGTGGACAACGAACATTTGGGTCGTAGGCGCTCGAACAGTGAGTTCGTCGATTACTACTCAGCTGTCCTTAGTAACTAATGACTGTGATGTAGAATGCTGCATATTTCACAAGAAGAGGGATTTCGATGAAAGCTCTAGTGATAGTAGCGACTCTGACGACTCACAAAGCGAAAGTGAAGCCCATCAACATTCACGTGACTGCAAGCAAAAGCGATGGCTTAATCCGAAGAAAACGAAGAAAAGTGCGTCATTGCCGTCTTCTTCCAGTAAGGAAGAGATGTCTACGCCCGAAAAACCGCCGAGTTCAAGACATTCAAATACAGTTGAGCCTTGTAAGGGGATTAAAAAGTAGCGATTAATTAGAAGCTGCATATCTAGTCGCCAATTGGTCAACACCATGAAGTCAAATTAGAAGAAACTGATAATGAACGAGTCTTGTGCGCCCTCTGCTACCTATTTACTGAGCAGTTTTCGCTTTTAAATTCTCGGATAAGGGTAGAGACTCGCCTTCCGATTGGCTTACAGCCTTTTGTCCATTTTCAGACGCCACATCAGGACCCTACAATAATGTTTACTCGTCAGTCATTTCATACCAATCAGCAAAACTGATTCGTAGTAAACACCACACTTACTACGTTTTGGTCGACAATAAGCATACAATCGATGATAGCGCGAGAGTTTAACAACGAGTTGTCCCATAAGTTCAGTAAGTGAAGTAAGAAGTTGTGGCGCAGTCCGTGTTCCAGGAGCCTGATTGAAGTAGAAACTGTAAAAACCTCTTTCAACATGCATATGTGACCGAATTTAACACACCATTTTCCGTGTTTTCGAGCAAACATGCGGCACGAAGATGCGACCATGAAGTCAGCCAAAATTCTGTGTGCATAACACGATTACGTCTAGCGACCAAGTACCATGATATATCATCGGAAATGGCACATACTTAAACTCTTTCACATGACGGTTCCATTTCTTCATGAACTCCTTCTCTTCCAGCGATACATCCTCAAATTCGTCCAGTAACTATATTGACAACATTGGGGTACAGCAAATATTAGTTACAATCAACCAGGTCTTGGAATGACCACAAAAGCCTTCAAGCCCTGCATGACAAGCATGTACCCGCTCGCTCTGTTTCGTGATCCATGTCTCGTCAACATCGTCATCGCTGTCATAGTCTTTTTCGTGGTCTAGTACAACAGCTCCGGTTCGGGAGTGAAAGTATTGACGTTGAAGAAGGGGTGCATAAAATTCTTGAGGCTGTTCTAGTGAGAGCTCATCAATATCCTCAAATTCTTGCATCAAATCTTCAACGGCCTCTACTGCTTGTATCCCGTAGGGACTATACTTTTTTCTTGACATGTGAATATATTGGTGCTCAAAGCGGCTTGATTTCTCACTAGGAAACATCTCAAGCTCATAAAATGCAGAGCGACGAGAAGAGTTACCCTTTTGCGGTTGAGGCTCTTGCATTACCATCACATAAATGTGCGGAATGTGATCATGTCCAACCTGCAATTAAGTCGGGCCAAAACTTTAATTGGACAGTGTATTGGCGATAGGTAGATTGACTTACTGTAGCTTGAAAACGAAATCGGTCGTGAGACGAAACTAAGTGGGCGACAAGACCACGCAATGATCCAGCAAACATGTTGCACCACGCGCACGAATAGTCGGAGCGCTTCTCACTCATTCTTCGTAGCATTGCATGGTAAAGGAAATGAAACCAAACCTGCACACCGCACAAAAGGATTTATTGTGTCAGTTTGTATTCTGTGTAGCATATATGCATCTTCCCGATGAAAATAACAAAGGATACCCCAGATCCTGGCTTGTGATATGTGGAGGCAACTTTTCTTCGAGGAAGCGCTAATTTAAAATTTTCATCAATTTGTTTATCCTCGCTCTCATTTTCCAGATTTGAGTTGCAGATGCTAGCGAGATGCCGCATTTTTTTTGTCTTAGGTAGAGGATCCCAAATAATTTGAAGCTCGCACTTCACTCCTACAGCACATGAAGAGCACCTTTCAATTTATAGTATTGACATGCAGCAACGTTGCGATCATACTCGTACCGCCATTCACTGAGAGCGGTATTGCCGGCAATTCTATCGTAACATATCCTGTACGACGACGCGAGACATTAAGACGCAAAATATTGCCAAACAAAGGCTTACAGCCGTTAGAACATGTCGCCATGAGATCCTTCCCACTCGCGATAGTCGCCACTTTTGGCGCTTCAAATACAGGAACGGATTGAGCAGCATTTTCTGCATCGGCTAACTTGATCTCGATCACATGAAAAACTGCGATGCAAATGTCCGCATCAAGGTGCACAAACTTTTTAGGCAGAATTACATCCTTCGAGCACGGCACAGGGATCAAGCACGTGGCCAGTAACGTGAACTGATTATCGGCAAATGCCTTGCCCTTGGCTTTATAGAGTGATACCACAACTCCTGGACGTAGCTTTTGGCTCTTAAATGTCTGCAATGTTTCAGATGTCATACCAAACTTAATATTTTTCAAAGTCGCACCAGCATGGGCCCTCTTGACCAGATTCAGGTCCTCCTCATCTCTACTTTTACTTTTCTGCAAGGCTAGATTTAGACGATAGCTGAGCGTTCGCGGCAAGAACAATGGACTTTGCAGGTGCTTAACCTCTAGCAGTTTGTAGAGTGCCGTAAGTCCGTGGTACGTCTCTGCAAACTCATGCTCCATATGCTCTTGACGCACTTTAGCATGACGCTCCCTGTGTAGTGCAGGCTTGCGCTCGTGACTTGTATCTCGCTTACGTTTGTTGCTTACCGCGTCCACCATCTTCAATGCTATGCTCGCCAACAACAATTTTTTATTAAGTTATATTAATATGCACTTCATCGGCTTTCGCAGTTGATGTCATAGGTTTATTACTTATATCTTTATTTATTGTTGGCTCCTTTTTTCGATCTTATCGATAATGATGTTGTCCACCAGCAGCGAGGCCACGTCCATTGACGCACCACCGATCATTTCAATGTCCACAGACTCGATCTTAGACGCTTCAATATTGCGTGTTTTTGCCGTTATATTATGTACCAAATGCCAATATTTAGAGTTTCCGGGATGTGACGTACACGGCGCATTATACACCGATCGGCTAACGGACGCAGATGGGATCATGCAACACGCCAAGTGCCCAAGCTGTACTGCATCCACAAACAATGCGCGTCCTTTTCGTGACGGATGTCGCCGCTGTAAGTCACCGACCAATGTCGTCATGTGGGTTTGTTCTCTGCAAGAAGTTCAGCTGGCAATCGAGGCTTTCCCCGATTCAACAGAGGAGATCGAACACACAGTTATTTACTGTGAGCTTTGCCTAAGTTCAATCTTTCCAAGGGCTAGAGAGAAGCTTACGACGCGATTGGATTTCGAACAGTTGGCAGCGGTCAATGGCAAACCTCTCAAAGTGTCAAACTTTCAGTTGAGTATGCCTCATGTAGACGGCTGTTTGAGGAAAGGTATGCCACTGCAGGCAGTGGCAGTGCGATTGCCCAAAAGTGAGCTGAGATTTGTAATGGAAAGAATTTACAAGTGTCCGAGGGCTCCTAGATTGACAGGAAAACCACAGTATCGACCCAGACAGCTGAAATTAGTAACACAGCAAAATCACCTGCATCAGGTCTGGTCATTGATTCATGTCAGGACTACTGGACATCTGGACTGAAACGGAATTGACCATTTTGATTCGTAGGTCGCGTTTCGATTGCTAATCAGCGTGATTGGTAATTTTGATGCGAGCTCTCCGGCTGCGAACCAACCAATTCGACAGGTCTAGCAAACTATCAGGATATTGACGAAAATTTTTGTTACACATCTGATTTATTCAATCTAGGTTTTGACCGTGCTCGAAAAAATGGAGCCATTAGGATTATTTATGGAGTGGTCACCACATCGTCAACTTTCACAGACAAAGGTTTTTCCGAATGAAGTAATTGCAAGCTCGTGTTATGACGAGCAGCATGTTGCCTCAAGGTGCGTCACTTAATGACATTAAGCGCTTTGAATTACCATGCTTTGGCTACTGCTTATAGGATTCTGGAAAATGGCCCTAGCTTTTGGAGATCAGGAAGTAAATCGGACAATTCAACATCACAGCAAGATGAGTGGATTGTGTGTCAATTTAGCTCTGCAGTTACGCTGTCGAGTATTGAGATAGAATGGCAAGCAAATTTTGCACCGAAACGATTTTCGGTGAGCATCTCGAGGCATGGTATGCCGTACGAAACTGTGGCAATTGTGATGGAGCCTTCGACCGTAACTCGATTGCTTGTACCAAAGGTATGTTTAGAACGTTTTGCTTCCAATATGGTAGCTTTATCTCGTTATAATTAATGTTTTCTTTGAAAAAACATTAGGGGGGCGTTGTTACTTCGATTAAAATTATTATGTTTTCTTCAGAGGTGGCTGGTAGGTTTAATTAGTATTTTCTATCGCTTGGCTTTTGCTGATACGCAAAGTATTGATGTGCAGGCGAAACGTTTTGCCTTAAATCAATCGTATGTAAGCAAGCGTCATTTCACTTCATTCACACCTCTACTGTGGTAGTGCTGCAAAATATACAGCATTGGCTCTTTGACGCAGCTGTATCTCCTTATCCGGATGTCCGAAATCTTGCTCTAGTTGCTTTACAAAAGCTGCTGCTTGCGTCAGGGTCCCTTTGTGGTCTTTTAAAATTAGTGATGTGTCTTCTGCTCAACACGCACAACGCATGTACGACTCTTACTGCTGATGTCGACGAGCAGGTTTGGGATCGCCTTGATCAGCTGTCTGGGGATGAAAAAGAATCAGCTGGATTATTTCTAAAACACTTGGCGACTTCGGTTCGGCATGCTGTAATTGTAAATGGCTCTCGTAACGGCGCCGAAGACAACGATTTTAAAGATATATTGCGCCGAAAATTATCCGCTGCTGAAAATTGTTTTTTCGACGAGGTGGGATGAGTATCCGGTCTTATTCATGGTAGATGGTATGCTGAGACTTTGTCATGGCGTAGGACACCAATAATTTTGGTCTATCGGCTACTTCGATTACCCTCCTTGTTGGGCGTCCCAAGTTTCTGGAAGCTATTAAGCGTAGGTCACAGGTACAGTAATCCCACACGACTGATGTTAAATTTGGCAAGCTCTAACAAAATATTGATAACGGATAGCTGGGAATGATCATTTTGCTTATGCTCAGCGAAGTGTCGACTTGGCAAATGAAACAGATGCAGAGGGCTGAAGAATTTACTGGTAAAGAAGAGCTTAAACTCATGCAGTTGGAAGAGCCGTTTTCAATTGAGATTTGCTCCGACTTTTTCGCAATTTCGCACCGACTTATAGTCAATATATTGTCACGTTGGCTAACACGTATGGAAAAGCACTTAAGTAATTCTGATCTGGACGAGGGTGAAAACAAAGGCAGCGACACAAATTATTTTGGTCGTCTTGATTTATACAATGCATTAGAATCGTCGTTTAATCAATTCCTTACCGATGCTGGACCGCTAGAATATCTAAGTGGTATCGATGTATCACTAAAAGAAAAACTCGCAAGTCACCCCAAGTTCTCACCTGATGGACTATGTGTCGCCATGCTCGATGTCATTACGTCGAACCTTCGTCGCTTAGTCCTATCTAAAGTCGACCCTTTAGAGATTGGAATTCAACCAGCTCTAGTTAACAGTAAGGACGATGTGTTGTCGGTCCCGCTTGACTTCTACCCCATCGTGCTATCACTTGAGCAGCTTATCGCGCTTGGCGCAAAGCGAAGCGATACTTTTTTTAATGTGTCATTGAAAGCCGCTGCAGCAATGGAAGCTGGAACGGAAGTGTTTTACCCATCAGCTGATCAGCGGACGAAAGTTCTGACATCACGAATGGGAATGGGTGCAACGTTAGAAGTACAAGTTCGCTGGCCTGTTCAGGAGCGTGACCAAGAAGACCCGCGCTACGAGAGGTTGATTTTGATGCTCCAAATCGAATGTATAAAGTTAAGCATGCGAAACTCAATTCGGGGCAATTGGTGCTTCTTCATGCACTTACTAGTGGAGATACCTTCTACTCGAAGTACAGAAGAGTTTTTGACCCAACATTTCGCGCCGTGTATTCAACGTGCTGGGTTCTTATCTTGGCAAGTTGCTGCGGGTGCACAAGAGCTGTCAATAAATCTTCAGCGACATCTCCATTGGAATCGCGTAGAAAAAATGTCTCAAGACTCAGGAGACGGATGGATTCGCGTGTACCCTGCCGACGTCGCAACATACGATGAAGTAGTCACCGATGTCGAAGAATTTCTTGCGAAGCATATTATGAACAAGGCAGAGATGGCACGACCATAGCTTCAAATCTAAGCTGCCTTTCGCCAAATATACCCAATAATTGACGGAAGATTCGGCATGTAGTAAGGTTGCTATCAAATCAAATTACATTCCTCGAGCGACAAGCGTGACAACCGCTTTGTCCGTCACTGAATAGGCAAAAAGCGATGTCGCAACTTTACCGACAACCTTGGGGGTAAAAGACACCATTACTTCAATAAATTTTCGAGGCTCGATAGTTGTCGTGGTGTACGCACATGAAAAGGGATCTTGTAAATCTTGCAAGAAAACTGTCATCCGTGAGTTTGAACCATTGCAGACATACACAGGTACTTCATGCGATTCGCCGACATTGCAGCATCCAAATTCAACAGCTCTGGCGTGAAAATACAATCCTCTTCGCTTCCCACGTTTTGTATAGTAAAATGAATCAGTTTGTGATGAGAGTCGATGCCGAGACCGAGCAATTTCATCAAACGGAGGTAGCGTAAGAAGCACTTGTCGGTCCACCACTACACTTACTTCTCGTGAAAACGACTTTCCGACTTTAACAGTTAGCGATCCAAACCAGTCTTCTACCTGCGAGGAAGGGTCAATGCTAATTGTATCACAAACGAACGGCTGAGAAATTGGAATGATCGAAACGTAAACTTCAGATGCCGACTCGATCACCCCTTTGGCAGGGCGCACCCATAGATTTTCAGGGGTGCGTATCTCATACGACAGCATCTGAGCCGTATTGTTCGACAAGCGTAGCTCTGCTTTTGAAGTAACTTTATTAGTGCCTTTGCTTTGAATACGATCAAATCGAATAAAAGTAGGAATCGCTTCCACATCCTGAGCAGATGAGTTCGTATGCAATTCTTGAACACGTTCACTGGTCTTAGTCAAGTTTCCATCGTGCATGTTGAGTGTCGTGTTTTCTAAATCTTCAAGGGTGTTGTGTCGCTTCACACTCGCTTCGATGACAACTTCATACGGATGAAATAATGACTCAATACCGATTCCTCTGAATTGAAAAATACCTGATACTGCTCCCGCGTAACGGGCATTAAAGGTGACGTGAAATGCATTCGAGGCTTTTGGCCCAAGCTCTAACACTGCCGGTGAGACGCTAAATTGTTGGCACCCTGTGCTAAGTGGAAGAAGTGAGATACAAATACGTCCAACCGAGTCGGTTCCATTTGTAAAGATAATTTGCTCCGTCATAATATCGCCAATCGAGCAAAGCAGTCGTCGGCATCGTCGTGGTACCTGTAAAAATAGCTTAAGTCATCAGATTTGGGTATATATTGAAGCAGATTCAGTGAAATTTTATCACCATAGCCGTCTCTATATCCGCATGACGTTTTCTACAGCACTGCAAATACAAGCCAGATATGTAAGAAATAGGGGGTCTGATGGATTTGAAGTAAAATTACCGCGCTCAGTTGGCTATCATCCGCATTTGGCTGTTCCCAACCTGCTGTGATTCTCGAGTCATGATTACTTATTTCACCGCGCTGACTCTTTACACTCTTGGACCTCTGCGAACTTTGAAGTTTCTCATTGTAACATAATCGTGAGCTACTGGAATCAACGCCACTTCGCCTTAAATTATGTTGGTATCCTTTTGATGGTTCATCATTGACTCGCTCATTGCTTTCATGTCGTCTGCAATCGTTTATATTCACTGAGGCCCTATCGATAACATCTCTACCTTCTTCGTCACTCGTACACTTACAAGTGTCAACTTTTGAGCAGGACAAATTGTCACGAAGTAAATTCTGTAAAGCGGCTTCTTCGTCCAGCAATTGATCACAATGGTCTAGAGTTTCGTTAGATCTTATTTTTTCAACCGGCTGCAAATTGGCGTTGCATGAAAGGTCACCTCGTAAACAGTTTGTCTCGAGCTCGAAATTTTGTAGCCTTCGTAATGTAAGATCAGTCTTGGACAATTTTGACATCTCCCGAATTGTAACGAGCTCCGGTGATTCTTGCGATTTACGTTTTTGAGTGCTGTTCGTCATACGGCCATTGGCTTCAGTAAAGTTAAATGGCCATTCCAAATCTCGGCTTTGGCGACTTCCATCGTCATTTGTTTGTATTACTGAGACGTCTTCTCCCCAACTATCAGTTGTTCTTGACAACGGCAGCATCGATTCCAGAGGTGAATCATATTCTTGAACAAATTTACACGGTGAATCAATGCAATGCTCGTTCTTTCTGGAAATCAACGATGCCATCTGATTCGAGTGGTCAATTACTACATCGATTTCGCGCAATGACTCTTTGATAACCCCCGGTCCCTTTTGCAAAGTTGCCACGTACTCAATTGATGGACCTTCTGAAATATCCAAATCAGAAAGAGACGAGAGTCTTCTAGTTATTATCTCTGCTTCACCAGCAAAATCTTTGAGGTGACGGTTCGACTCATGGTCGACATACCCTTCTAGTGCGCCTCGAAGACGACTCTTCTCCTGCGAACGGGCGTATCATTGGTCAGCATTATCCTACAGTGCTACTTTATGAAGCCACAGTGTAGCATGATTTCAGACCTGTAGATGTTTCAGCGTGTTAGGTGTGAATATAAGTCTGGTGTTATCAAAGTGTACGTCGTAGCCTGACGAGTAAGCTGTGCCTGATCCTGAAAGCTCAGAGTTTCGGTGAGGACGGTCGTAAAGTACAAGTCCCTTTGTTGGATCAGCCGGCGACAACTGCTGCTTGGATGTGTACAAATTCGACTCTTTACTTTTATCTGGTGCGTCATCGATACCAAACTACACGACATTTAAGTCAGACTAATCAAGAAACACTTCTTTATTCCTTCATCCACATCATACCATAGGATCGTCAATGTTTTGAGGCGACGAGAGTTCTACTTGTTCGAGATTACGCGATCTACTCTCGAAAAAGTCGCTCGGGCGGCCGTTGGCGTTAGTCTGGCCCCATCGGGACTCCGCCAGTGCCTCAACGTCCTCAGAAAAGCTAGCACTTCCTCCCAAATCATTTTTTTCTAAGAACTTTGCTGCCGTCGATAAGTAAGAACAAGAGAAAATTAAAAACATACCATGTGCTTGAAGCCTGTCTACGTCTACAAACGCACCAGCGTCGACAAACACGTCCTCCACCGGCTTCTGTGTTTCTTGTGCCATATGAAGTGGCGAAAAAGCATCCAAGTTTGGAAGATCGAAGCTGTCATCAACATACTGATGGCTCTCAGTCTCCACTGGGACATCACTACGACCTTGGTACGCGTGTTCGCGCTCAATGATCGAGATCGGGCTAATTTCATCACCTACACAGCTACGGCGATGTTTCGCTTCCTCTTGACGATGAGAGAATCTCCGCACATTTCGCTTTGTATACGACAGTACTGGCGAGTGTGGCAACGTCTCCATGGTCACCTTCTACGAGTTGTCGCCTGTTTGACTATAAGGATATAAAACATAAGGCGTTTTTTTGTATTTTTCATTTCTTATTTTTTGAATACAGTAATTTTTTTGTGGATGGTCACAATTGTGTTTACGATCAAAGGTCATGGCACATGCTGCACGGAGTAAATCTTCAATTGTTGAGACCAAGATGCTCGAAATCGTCACTCCAGCAGCGGTGACGCAGAAGCCGGCCGCTACCAGTTTTCACGTGTCCACCACCAATTTTCCTTATTGTCATTTTTTAGGAGGCGCAATAGGTGGCATGGCAGCCGCGCTCCTCACATCGCCTCTTGAGGTTGTCAAGACACGACTTCAGATACGCGCTGGAAGGTAGAATCTGCTCAAATTGTTTTTTAAAGAGAGGTTCAGTAGTTGAGACAGTAATGTGATGTGTACTGTATAGCGGATCCTTAAGTACCATGACGACGTTTGGCGTTATGCGCACCATTGGACAAACCGGTAAGTCTGTTGGTGTAATTTAAAAATGATCCTGTTCGCTAGGTAATATATTGGTTCTCGGTGACTTAGAGTCGGTATATGGTCTATGGAGAGGCATCACGCCTACACTTATCGGCATCATCCCGGCGCGTGCCATCTATTTCGGCTCATACTCAACGTTAAAGGAAAAACTTTCCAGTGTCGGCTTAAACGGACGTCTGTACAATTTTGTGTCAGCTGCGGGGGCTGGGTCTCTTTCAGCAACTTTGTGCTGTCCCATTTGGGTTGTCAAAACGCGCCTACAGCTCATGCCAGTGCATACGATAGGTGCTGCGATGACACGCCGAAATGTCTTATCAGTAGGATTTGCGGAATTTGAGGCAGGAATTGCAACGACGGCTAAACCACAGTTTACAAGTGTCCGTCAGGTCGCATTTGACATGTATCGAAAAGAGGGTCCACGAGCGTTCTTTCGTGGATTGTCGGCCTCATATTGGGGAATATCAGAGAGTGCAATCCAGTTCGCTTTATATGAAGAGTGCAAAAATCGCATTGAAGAACCTTCGAGCTTCAAATACTTTTTGACAGCTGGGGTTTGCAAGCTAATTGCATCTGTGTGCACATATCCTCACGAGGTGCGGATCGTATAGTTTATCTTGCTGTTTGCGTGTAATGTATTGACGTCTTTGGTTGGGTAGGTGGTACGGACACGAATGCGGGATCAGCGCGTGCCACTTGATTCGGAAAAGCTCAAGTAAGTTCTCCTTAGCTCTCATTGTTAGTTCAGCCTGCTTTAACGATTTAGCCATGTCTTCAATCGCAGATATAAATCAATGTTTCAGTCAATTATCAAGATTTATAATGAGGAAGGGCGTCGCGGACTCTACTCAGGCATGTCGGCGCATTTGATGCGTGTGGTCCCAAACGCTGCAATATTGTTCATGGTTGTGGAGGCAGTCACCACTAAATAGGCAGTCACCAGTAGCTAGGACCTAGTTTATGTACGAAGTGTTAACACTCAAATTATACAATTTCTTCAGCATGCATCATTTTATCCAGTTATCGTCCGTCATGTGATTCCAATGGTTCGGAGGCATCCATCACATACCTTCCATTTCAATTTAGTGCATTGTTGAGTCATGGCGTCGGTGGAGGCCCAGATTAAAAAGCAAGTGGAATTTTATTTCTCCGACAGCAACTTTCGTCGTGACCGCTTCCTGCGCGAGGAGACCAAAAAATATGAAGGTGGCTTTGTGCCCTTCAGTGTACTATTTACTTTTAAGAAGCTGGCAGCACTTACTGTAGACAGTGCCGTGCTGCAGACCGCTATCGCTGACTCGGACGTTGTAGAACTTAACGAGACAAAAGATGCATTGCGTCGCAAAAATCCGTTGCCGGATCAGGATGATGCAACTGAGCGCATCATCGTGCTAGCTGGATTAGGTAAGGTCATGCCCACTGTTGACGATATCAAGGAAGGCTTGAAGCCGCTTAATGTGGAGTTGCTATACATTGACCGTAAAAGTTACCGCCGCAATTTCTCTGGTGTTGTACACGTAGAGCTGAAAGAAAAAGATGCTGTCCAGCGTGCTGTAGATACTGCAGCCTCACTCAGCATCAATGGCTACGTGCCTAACATTATATCCATGGTGGATTACCAAAAGCTGTCTCATGTCGACAAGGTTGAATTTGACAAAGCTACTAATGCAATGCTCGTAGCTAGGGACGTGCCTATCAAGCCCGTAGTCTTTTTTCTCGACGAGCTACTGCCTATCTGGAAGAAAGATGACAAACTTCGCGCCCGTGTGCGCTACTTTGAAAACACACAAGAGCTTTACCTGTTATTTTCACAAGCTGCATTCGCTGAAAGCGTGCAGAAGCATCTTTTAGAGGATACGCCGATAATTGTGGACGAGAAGAAGCTCACGTTTGAACTGATCACCGATAAGGAAGCCATTAAACTTCGTCCTCGTCGAAATTACAGTGGCAGGGAGGACAGGAACGGTAGTCAAAAGCGTAAGCGTGACGACGAAAAGGTCGTACACATTTCAAACATTGGCCCGCGCACCCGCCGAGACGACATCAAGCGGCTTCTTGCTACTGTAGTTGACCCGTCTTCGCGATCACCATTTATTGAATTTGATGGCTTAGATACGGCATCATTTAAGACCAGCGCGGCTGAAGCGACATCGATGTTTGAAAAGCTGTCAGTGCTTTCGAATCCAGAACTTGGAGGCAAGAAGGTATCATTTCATCTTCTTGATGTGGATGAAGAGCTTAAGGTCGATGTACAGTACGACGAAGGACTTATTGTGCGCTTTGCCGAGGTTGACGGTGAGATCTCTCGTGATGACATAAAGAATACTATAAACGAAAAACTTGGCGAAAAGGCTGCCAATAGTGCCGGTGTTGCTTTTATTCAGTATCAAATAAACGAAAAAGACGGCTATCTCCGTGTCACCAGCCCTGAGCTTGCGAAAGACGTTGTCGCCTTGTTTGCTGATGGCGGGCTGGATGTGAACGGTGTAAAGATCCCGAAGGCCGCTTTGGTGAATGGGGACGAGGAAAAGCAATTCTGGGAAAACGCCCGAACAGCCCGCTACAAGCGCTTCAAACAGTCCCGTTCATATCGTGACCAGCAGCGTGGTGGCCGCGGAGGCCGGGGTGGTCGTGGCGGGCGTGGCGGTCGTGGTGGTCGAGGTCGTCGTCACTAGATATAGTCAGCGAATATGCACTTCTTTCGTCTATTGTCAGCCATGGGGTTCCCGGCTTGCGAGGCATCTGCCGTGGGTACATCTTGAGTGACGGTTGGACGTTTAGATTTGTGAGATGATAGGATAACGATACTAAGTGCTTTAGCATTCGACGGCTCATTTGTCATGTGCAATAACTGACGAGCTGTCGTTTACTTTGGAGCCATTGTCGACTCCAGAGCTCAACTGGTGGATCAATGCTTGGAGGTTTGCTTGCTTACCAACCTCTTCTGTCTGCTCATTGAGAAATGTCAAATAGAATCAAGACACAAACTATTATCATATTCCTGCTCACCAAATGACAAATATCCGCTTCGCACTTCAGTATGTACTCGTCCTTCGAATTGACTAACAACCGCTGCTCAGCCACTTGAATTTCAAGCGTAACCATCATACTTTCGAGTTTTCGATGAGCTTTCTTGAGTTCATCAAGCTCCCGACTAACTGTGCATCGCTTCTCGTGCTCGTCTCCCAGCGCATTTTTGTATTCTGCTACAGCGTCATCAAGTTGTTCCACCTGCATGATATCAATTAATGTGCTCATCACACTACATAAGACAAAACGTACCTTTTGCGCCAACTGATCAGCAAGCTCTTTCTTGCCTTGCAGTCTTGACTGAAGTGCAACGCTCATCGACTCCAGACCAGCCATCTCATCTCTTATCGTGTCAACTTCGCTTTCGATGCTCATCTTATCATCGGCAAGAGCTTTATAAGCCTTAGATAATAAGACCAGTTCCTTGTAAGTGCTTTCGTTTGTGATTTCCTGTTCCTTTAGCTCACTTTCCAGTCGCTGATTGATCATTGAGTTTAGCTTTTGGTGAAGAAGCCATCTGGAAAACAAATACGTACTCTATTGTCATCGCGAGCTGACGCAAGCTCTTCTCGCTGCGTTGTGTAGTCTTCTGAAATGGCGGCGATTTTCTCACGAAGCTCCAGCAATCTTTTTTCTCGAAGCTGCATCTCTTCCATCACGGTCGAATGGGTCTGAGCAATTTCTTCGATTCGAATTTCTAAAGCTTGAATTTTCCGCTTGTGATCAGTATTTTTTTCTTCTAGAATGCCTCGCTTAGCCCGACTTTCTTGAAGTAGTGCTTCACGCTGCTGAAGAGTATCAGTTTGCTTGTTCATATGCTGACCCATGCTCTCGCATTGAAGTGTAATCTCGCGCAGCTTATCTTCATATGCATCACGTATTTTCTGCATCGCGTCGTCTTTTTGACGAATCTGATCGATGAACTTTTCTCCAAGTTCTGCCAGGGCCTGATCTTGCTGTGCTTTCAACTGATCTTGGAAATGTAGCATTTGTTGCATTTCAGTTTGAAGTTTCTCTATTTTCTTTGCACTAACATCAGCACTCGCTTGTAATGTAGCAATAGTCGACTGAAAGTTCTCGTAAGAGTCTCCTACTCGCTGGTTTAAGTTAAAAATTTCCTCAGACAATTCAAAAGCATTAACATGCTTTTTTTCGGACATAGTAAGCAACTGGGTCAACAGCAGAAGAGATTCCACGACAAAAGTTTTGTCAGTACGATTAGATAATGCAGCAGCGAGCACCTTCGAAACTTCAGATGACCGCAGAAATAGAATCAAGGTGCGCTTTATCTTCTCATCCAATTTTTCGTCAGACACTAAACTCGATAGAAGAGTCTTGACAGAGCAACACCACGAAAAATCAAGTCAATATATGAGAATGCCAGGCTTGATGTATTCTTACCATCAAATGTATAGACAATTGAGGCTGAAAGCATATCAGAATTTGAGGATCTACGGAGCCAGTGAGAGCAGACTCAGCTTGAATTAGTGTCGCACTCTGTTGAGTGAAGTGTGCAGCTGTTAAAGCCTGCCACAAAAAGTTTAGATGGCTTCGTACGTACCTGATTAAGGCTGATCTTATCAGCACACAGTGAGCGTATAACAGGCAATGAGCTCAGTTTGGCCAGAACATGACACAGAACCACACTTTGGAGATAGTCGTCAGAGTGGCTTAAAACCTCGAGGTTTCCAGAATTTTGCACTACTGCTGTAGCATCGGCGATGCACCGCGCCATTCCACCAACAATAGGGTTCAGCCGTTCTGTAGTGGCAAGAGACTCAAACAAAGTTCGAAAAGACAAGACGTCGTCGCCTATCACTTTTATAATTAGTTTAGCAGTCATCGTTGACACCAGCTTGGATGGGTGAAGGGTTGTTTGAAGAACACGGTAGAGAATGTCCAAATCAAATAAGCTCTTTGCCACAATCGTCTGAAAAACATGGTTGAGCCGGACGACCGAAGCGAGAAAATGGTCAGCGATCAAAATCTCTTCGGTATCACCGTTTATATTGATTGACATCAAGCAGTTATCGACAACTACCAATGTCTTTTGATTCTGCTTGAGCAATTCCAGAATATCTTCACGTATGCCAAGATCACAAAGTAAGTCGATACTAACTATCGGCAACATGGAGGGTCGATCCAGAATTGTATTGGACATCGACATACTCTCATTTGCGTCTGTACGCCAACTTCCATCCAACACAGAAAATATCAATTCGAATGCCTGTTTTACGTTCTTCTCGCTAAAAAGTTTGCTTCCCATCGAATCTAATAGCACGAGACGCGCAAGGATCGTCATGCTGAATACTAATAGCTCTGGATTTTCTGTGCTGTTGAGTAAAATTGTCAACGAACGATACAATTTCTTGATCGTTTTCAATTCTTTGAGATATATTTTAACACCAGCACTTATTTTGATCAACTCTGACAACACGAGAAGCTGCAGCTTGAGTCCTTTGTCAACTTCGCAGCCACTTCGCACCGCCAAACATGAAACACTCTGGACGAGCCATTGCAACAGCTTGCACAATGGTTGCGAAGGGTATCCAATTGCGGTGTTTCTTGCGAATAGGTAGTAAATCTCCAGCAACTGTAGCGAATCCTCTGATGACTGTTCATTCTGCGTTAGCTGCGAGTATTGCGTCAAGTTATCCTCCTGCGTGAAATAGTTCGATCCAACAACAGCCACGATATTCTCTGCCACTGTTTCTAGCAGCTGAAGACAGAGCGGCATGTGATTTGCAGCAAGCAATGCATTGCATACTGAGAATTTACGCGCCGATTGGTAGAGATCTGAGGCCGTAATGGTACTTGGAGCTGCAAGGTAATTATTTGCAGCAGCAATTAAAGATGACCTGCTTATCTGTGCGAAATTTTTTTGTATGGATGCTTGGCGGCTGGAGATGCCCCGGGCAGAGGGCGTGAAAGAGGCGTCCATGCTCACTACAAAACTGCTCTTTGAATTTGAATTTGTGCGTACTTAAGCGAAATTTTTGTTGTCAACGACAGGCAAATTGAAGATAGTTTCCTCGGCATCAAAGTGAAGTCCTCCTCAAAGTGAAGTCATGGCGGCATCAAAGTGAAGTCCTCCTCAAAGTGAAGTCATGGCGGCATATCCTCAACCTTTTTTCGCCGTGACACCGTCACTGAAATCTGTTAGATTTTGAAATCAAAAAGAGTCCCCTATAAATTGCGTTTCAAGATCTAATTAGTTTGTCATCACCACTAACCTAGCGCTGGGTGCTTATTTCATTGAAGTGTGCGTATATATAACATTATTGTTTCTCGTACTTATACGTACTCCCTCTGTCTCAAAGTAAAACCTGTGTTTGAAAAAATTCGCAAACATAACGAGATTTTTAACCGGAATCCTTTGAAGTCAATTTTGTTAGGCGCAGAACAATACTCCGTGAGTGCTCCCCAGTTTTTGTGCCCAACCAAAGTTTTTATGTTGAGATATCTACTGCCAAAAATCGAGATTTAGTCCGTCTTTTTTGGGCACCGCTGGTAACATCAAAATGGAGCAGTTGGAACCCGTCGCTCTCATGGCCATTGAGAAACATCATGACAGTTCATCAGAGATCGTTTCAGCCAGTCCAGTTGGCGAAAACCGAACAGAAATCCCTGATAACAACGATCCAGAACCACGCTGTACTAACAAGAAAAAAGCCAGATTTAACTGATGAGCAACGAAGGGCTGTTTACGAATTCTAAACAAAAAGATCCAGAGCGATCTTCAAAGCTTGTGAAAGGCGCTTTAAGCGTTGCAGCAATGAAATTCGGTGTAACAGCAGACACTGTTAGTGCAATCTGGAAGCGTGCACAGCAGTTCCTCGCTGATGGCCACATTTCAGCCGATCTTGGATCGTTCAAATGTGGACATGTTGGAAGAAAAAAGAAAGATTCTGATGTCGACAAGGTCAAGGTCAATTCACCTGTGGATCGTCAGAATATTCGGTCACTTCCTGCCAAATTGAATATGTCGCGCCACTGTTCATCGTCGCCTCAAAGAAGGTCTGATTGTACCGCATTCCAATGCATTCAAGCCACATCTGAATGAAAACAACATGATCGAAAGAGTAAAATTTTGCCTCTCCATGTTAGATCCTGTGCAGGCACCGCTCTTTCAAGATATGATGAACACGGTTCACATTGACAAGAAGTGGTTTTACATCACGAAGACGAACGCGAAATATTATCGCGCTCTCGGGAAGCAAGCCCCACATCGAACCTACCAAAGTAAGCGTTTCATAACCAAGGTGATGTTCTTGGCCGCAGTGGCTCGACCTAGATTTGATTCTTACCATCAACGTAAATTTGACGGTCGAACTGGAATGCTCCCGTTTGTCTATCAAGAAGCGGCGAAACGATGTAGTAAAAATTGTGAAGCGGGAGCGTTGGAAACGAAATGCATTCAGTCGATTAGCAAAGAGGAAGTGAAGAAGAAACTTATCAAATGTGTTCTCCCTGCAATAAGAGAAAAGTGGCCTAAAGCGTGGCGTGGAAAGACCAGCGATCGAATCGTCATCCAGCAAGACAGTGCAAGGCCACATCCATCCGGTGACGGTCCTGATTTAGTCAACGAGTTGAAGAAAGACGGCTTCAACATTTCGCTGCATTGTCAGCCTCCTAACAGCCCCGATATGAACGTCTTAGACCTTGGGCTGTTTAGGAGCATACAGTCACTTCAGCATCAGATTCCTAAAAAAAAATAGACGGGCTGGTATCAGCAACAGAACAGGCGTTCTGGTCAATGGATCCAGACACCTTTAACAACATTCTCTTAACCTGGCAAGGTTGCATGTTTAAAGTCATGAAATGCAATGGTAACAACAAATACAAAATTTCTTACATGGGCAAAGCTTCCATGCAGAAAAGAGGGCAACTGCCGGTCACACTCCAATGTCCTCAAGAGGTTTTAGCGCAAGCTAATGCCTTCATTTCCACTCAATAAACATCCAACCTTGACATATCCGGGTTTTATTCTGAGACAAAGATTAAGTGCATTCACGGGTTTTATTTTGAGACAAAGGGAGTATTAAATAGGCTGCAACAGAATCTAATTGTCAAAGATAGTAAAATTATTCAGACACAGTTTATCCTAAACTTAATTTAAAATATAACACTCCTGTTGTTTTCAGTAAATCAGTAATTGCGTCATCCGATCACCGAGGTCCGTACAGCCATGCCAATTCATGTCCGCTGAACACAGATTAGGCTTGGACGCTCTTAATAACCCGCACGAGTTGAGCACACAAACAAGACTACTACCTACTTCAAAAGACTCGCGGTTTCGCTCCTGGGTGGAGCGTACGAACCCAACCTCTGGTTGTTTCTTATGCAGATTCGTCGAGTTGGGGCTTTCTGTGTGCAAGGTCACAGCATCCCTTTGGACTTAGTAGCACTTGTCACTATTGATGGCTACCGGTTTCTTGCAGCTCATACCGATTTCCGTGTATTTTGGGAAAATGGAGCACGAGATGTTCGATTACCTGTCTCCAAGAGAGCTAAACACACCTAATTGGCTCATGTCTATCGTAAGCCCCCAATGTATAACTGATCTGGCGGTTCACTGGATCAAAACGGTAATCGCACGCCTGGAGGCGTTTTCAAAAGGATGATGTGCTGGTGAGGCACCTCGAGGAACGCTCCAACCAAGTGGTCGTGCTCGTCGCTAATTACGCGTTCAACCTTTTGAGACAAGTGACGAAAAAAATCCTCTCTGGAAGAGAAAACATGGTCAAATAATAATCATGCTCTAGACGAAGCCACAGATTGTTGCGCTTGCAATTTAGAAGCCGGGCGTACACAAGAATGGGTAGAAGATGCACTAAGAAGTTTTAAAGCGACAAAAATTGCAAGTGTTTGCACTGCCTAAACGGGCATACCAAGCACGTTCCAATTTCTTGTTCGCTTGTCAGGAGGGTTAGAAGCTAGCGTAATATATCCAGAAACTGAGAGCTCTTTTTGGTGCCTTCTTTCGGAGGCGGTAACCTATACGACCGGAATGGAGAGTCGTCGTACAGGTGCGGCGTCTGCTCTATCTTTCTGAAAAAAAAGTAGACGTCACATCGCATGTGAATACAGACTTGGCTCACAAGCGTTAATTGAAGTATCGCTGGCGAAAGCTCGTCGAGCGATAACAACAATATACTTTGGTAATGCTGGTAAAAAAGTAAATGATTCCTTAGCGGTCTAACCGCTCTGTGGTACTGTAAAAGCGTTTTAATCGTGGGAGTGCTAACGATATGCGCCCTGTGTTCCCTTCTCTGTTGTTTGGTGGTACGAAGGTTCAAGCTGTGGCGCAGGGGTTATCTGTCAAACAGTCGCGGCAAAACGTTAATTTCAAGCAGGCTCAAGAAGCCCACAGAGGAAGAGTCGGTACTTTGCATATCGCAGACATCGAAGTCAATGGGGCACATCTTAATAATTAGTGACTCTCACTAAGTCTAACAGCTCAGGATGTTTGCTGCCAACATCAACGTCCCGGGATTCAAAAAGCGGTGATATATTCTGATAGATTCAATAGCGTCGCGCAATTACATAGGACGTGTGATTGTCGAAATGGTAAACAGTACGCGAGGCATTGATAATGCCAAAAACGGGTACAATATGCATACGTTTTGCGATAGGTACGCCTGTTCCTGCTATGAATTGTAATCTGGAACATTTTTACTGCGCACAACGTTGTCCTATTCTGCACATGATGGGATGCGCAATGTCTTGATAAATTTGACGTGGCTTGAACGCTACAAGCAATGGACCGACTGGAAGCCAGAAACTTGAGGTGTCACGCAATTCTCTCCAAAGGAGCTTCAAAGTGTCCGTCATCTGACCACGCTGGAGATCAGAACCACTTTTGGTGCGGAAAAGAAGCGACAATTGCTTCAATGCGGGAAATATGGACTGTCATTTTTTAGCAATGATATTGTTTGGTGCCTGGAGCAGAGCTCGGAAAGTAGAAGCGGTAGCGCGTTCAAGGATATACAAAAAGACGCTTGTCTATTTTAATTTTCGAGTGATATCTGCGGAGACAAGAGTACAAGATTATATGACTTCTTCACTGTATCCAATTGCAAGGCGGTGCGATTGCGGAAAGGTACTGTAGAAATCGGACGAGAAGCTAAGCTCCTTTGGTTTGCATGATGCCCTTGTGATAGTTATTATAAATTGATCGTGAAAGACATGCGGTGAGATAGCTAACAGGATGCTCTGGAAGTTACTATTTGTACCGCATGGATTGTCTAATGCACCAGTGCCGTTCAATTGTCTGCGTATTCAATTGATTGAAGCGCAACGTGCCAATGCACGGACATATTCCAGCGATGTGTTCGTCCATAGGTGTACAGAGCTTGGAGAGTCGAATGTTGATAACCAAATTCATCCATTAGACTCTTTGGAGCAGTGATCAAGTGTTTGCGCCTTCAAAATGTGTAAGCCAAATAAAAAAAAATGAAGCCGTCAAAAAGTTCTGATTAAGATGCTTCGTTGCAAAGCCGGGGGATATTACAACGATCAAGGCCATCATAACCTGGATGATTCAAGGGGAATTCATGAGGTGGTTTGGCTTAGTCAACTTTTTGCGCAAGGAAAGTGCAAATGATGCTGACATCTCGCGAATTTTGTTAAATGGCGACGGTTCGGATTAGAATAGGCGGCTCTGGAGGCTGGGAAAGAAATCATCGTGTATGCCTTGGGTCTGGAATGGCCATTAAATGTCGTCAACCAATTTCAAAGGCTGTGTTTGCTTCAAGAAAATGCCGATGGGTATAAATGTGTGATTGCGTTTTAGTCTCACCGGTTTAACACTGCACAGCAAAAATATACATTACCCAACAAGAAGGTAATTGCAATCAATTTCGCTTTTATCGAGTACAAGATGCTCCTACATGAATTAAGTGGATCTGTGGTCTCTACAGATAATGGGTCTTTGTGCAGAGCAGCGTTGGTACCACATTTCTCACATAGAATATAAAGTTGTTATCGTCTAATACCGAGTAACATTCAAGGTAAAGTTTATGCCGGGTCGGTTTGATGTGGTCGCGGCGCGTCTCCCTAGCTACAAACTGTCGAATGATACGATATTATCGGTGCCGATTGATAAAGCTGTGTGGGTCAGACGACATATGAGGTGCTTCCTGGAAGCTCTGGCAAACAAACGGTTTGCGTGCTCGGATGCTGCGTTGCAAGATCGCTGCTTACACGCAACCCACGCCTCTGCAAGCTTTACTACGATTTATACAAATTACTTATTCCTTCGACATCCGTGTTCCATCGAAATCGCCGCAAACTGGTTTGTGTCTCGGGTAGAATAGGTAGTTAACTCGATATGATTCGGTGATCTTAACCCGGCTACACTTCGAAGCAAAATCAGTGCACTGACATGTTTGAGCGTCAGAAGCGAGTGCGCGATGGCATGGCGGAGAGTCGTGAATGCGCAAAAGCATTACGCAAATGTCAGATGCAGGGGGATGACGTGACTATGTAGTGGTAGGGGTCCGACCATAACTTTTCATTTGAGACCTGAGCGGTATATGTATCAGCAGGCTCATAAGCATCAGAGCTGTTGTAGTATAAACTCAAGGCGAAAGAAAATCTCAGCCATGATGTTCATATTATACTTAAAAACGTTCAAGCATTAAGCGACATTTCTGGCAGGTATCTGATAAATCGCAACTTGCTTTGGATTTTGCACTTTGCAACGGATCAAGCTGCTTATGAAACAGACTTTTACTCATTTGTAATAAAACTAATTCTTCACTAGCCTTTTAGCAGAGGATCTGACCGCTCCTTGCTTCGAAGAACAAGCACGATGTGCGCATCTCACGCGAAGGTGAACACTGGGTGCATTCAAGCCTGAGATGGGCTTGCAAGGGTGTCCCTACTAATTCATTCGATCCTGATTACAGCCCTGTAAGCCCTTTGCGTATCACATGGAGATGAGCTATTCCTAACAGATCAAGTAGAGCCTGCAAATGACGACCCTTCCAAACTGGTAATGGCTACACGACTCATGCTGTTAGTCATGGCACGCGCCCGATACTGACATGTTCAATTATCTGCACAACTTAGCGATGCTATCGCTTGGAGTGGTTTGAGGCACCCTACCGATTCTGAAGCGTCTAGCTTTCCATGAACGGAAGGTAGCTCAGCTTAGGTAATGGTTAAAACGTTGACTTTCACAACAGAGTGCTTCGCATCGTGCTATATCGTATTTAGCTGAACCGTGGTGCGGCTGTAACACATCCAAATAGGACTCACGATGTTTCGCACCATTCCGGAAACTGACAGGAAGCACGCTCGCTTATAAGGTGTGCTCGTAAACAGCCCGGTGTAGCGACGTCGCAGTTAGTCTTTTGGACTACAGACACTGCATGTGTAGGTATATATACAGGAGTAAGACTACCTAGATGCTTGTTAATAGAAACAAAAACTGAGTGTGTACAGAATCAGCAACAAGAAGGCAATCGCGCTCACAAAGAATCTCAAGCTACCAGAAGTTCCTGAAATGATAACAAACTTATTCCTCTAAGAAATATCGTGGCGATTACGCCAACCAACAAGTCTATCCATACGAAAGTGAGTCGTATCGATCAATGCCGGCAGATTACAAACCTCACATGACTAGATCATTGCGAACTTGAGATTGTTGAGGCGCGCCAACTCTACCGGAAGCCCAAGCGCGTGTCTGTTGGGAATAAAAGACGTATGTCGGATGCCCTTTCAGATATTGAACATTAAATCGGCCTCATCAAGCGGTTTAATACTGGCTAGCTGCTTTGTTATCTTCAGAGTGAAGGATAACTCATTATCAGGACTTTGGCAGAACGCTCCGCTACCGGGATGATAACATTCCGAATTGAGAAAGCCCACTATGAATATGTAACATATTTTCAAGTTATCAGAGAGACGGAAGTGTAAATCAATCATTTCATACTCCAACTTATAAAAGTCCATTGTAGCGATGACGCAATCGCCTTGATGATTGCAAACATTGCATCTGTAGTCGGTGATTGGTGCTTTATCGAATTAGATCCCTGTACAATTTTATCTGCCTGTGGCATCTCTATGTTGTATTCATGTATTGTGGGTTTCAGTCGTTATTTTGCACAATAGGTGTATGACGTCTTATCTCAAAATTTTCGATTTTGCAGAGTGCTGTCGAGTATAGTCCATTCACAAGACAGAGCTTATTAACGCTGTCAAAGCAGCAATGAGTGTATCAAATGGGGTGAATCTTCTGAAGATGTATACTTCGTCAAATGACGCCAACATTATTGCTGAAGCGTCGCGATAGCTCTGATGAGAGCTGTGGAGGACACCCCTCACCACGCGATTAACGCGTTCCGCTTGTATATCAATCGATAGATGATTCAAGTTGGAAATATTCGGTCTGATGCCAAGTACCTTGAATAATGCTCGTCAAAATTGCGTTGCATTGTGTGAATCTCAACCCGGTATTTTACCAAAAGCAAAACGTTTTGGCTAAAGATGCACAAAAAACAGATGGGTCGTATATATATAAACAGATGGGTCGTATCTATATCTGTTTTTTATGCATCTTTAGCCAAAACGTTTCGCTTTTGGTATATATATATATATACATATCAATAATTGTGTCGCTGACAGCAGCGAGGTCAGGTATTTTTCTCAAGCGGAATGAAAAATTCTCATCGGTATAAACGGGGTTGCCTTTGGTTAAAGCAAATAAAATGGATGGCATAACGTGCCATAGCGTGCGGCAAACATTGATACTATAGACAGATGTCACACGCGAGCACATAACTGCTTATCTATTTAAGCATGACTACCAGTAAATTAACAATTATTGAGCTGCGCGCCTTTTCTTTATCGAGATGTCGTCTTAGAGAAGTATCATGTGCTTCGGAGCAAATATTGTAAATAGGAATACCCATTCATAATGTGTCGAGCAGAATCGCGCCGTAGAATACAGCAAATCTTGATATAAGAAGTGGTGACCGAAAGCATGGCATCGTCGCTGCGTGATGCCAGAATTGTGTTATAGAACACTTTATAATTTTAGCGACGAAAAAGCCCTCGCCACCACATTAAGCCGATCAGGCTTTGTACTTCACCTCAGACATATTATCAGCAGAGATAACAAGTAATTTGCCGTTCTTCGTAAAGAGTGTGGCGACGATGTCGTTCTTTCTAATGAAACATGATCCGTGCAAATCACAATGGCTGGATAGCTGGTACTCGAATAGATCCTGATTTCGCATCCTAGGGACGGATATTCGCTGATCTCATGGACTCAAAGAGTTACAAATGATGAATTCCATGGTAATTCAGTATACGTCATTCGAGCTGGACAGGAAGACTTGTCTGCCATAATGTCTGAGACCTCGAGTCGAGCAGGCGTAACACAGGGTATTCTTCAGGGCAAGTAGTTCTTTGTCATAAACTGTGTAGTTCTTCACTGCAGCTTTCAGCTGGCGATACTGAATCGGTATCAATCGTTCAACCCCCTCGCGCAGTCCATGCGTTTTCTCTCAATGGAATAGATGATGGCAAAAGGCCGAATTGGCACCGACTATGTAACGGGGTTAT